TTCAATGTCATTGCTCGAGAACTACACCAGAGTATTGCAAACATTGAGAATGCTTATGAGATTTGACTGGATTTGGAACAACGCTTTTCTCACTACTAAGACAAGAAAATTTCCCAGTTGYAGTATATTACACCAAGATCAAAGACATATGGGATGAATTTGCAACCTTCTCAGGCACACCAGTTTGTTCCTGCGGTGGAGCAACAAAGGAATTCTTTGTTGAGAAAGAAACAAAGCACGTCTATCAGTTTCTCCTTGGCCTAAGTGAGAAATTCAGCGCAATCCAATCCAGTGTGCTTAACATGGAGCCTCTCCCAAACATTGCTAAGGTCTATGCCTTAGTATTTCAGGAAGAAAATCATCAAATCTTGACCACTTAGCAGGGACAAACGATTGATGATGCAACCATGAACATAGCAGTGCCACCCAAAGGTGGACATACTAAAGACCATTGCTACGAGCTGTTTGTATATCCAACAAATTGGGAAGCTAGGGGGATGTCGAGAGGAAAATAACCAGGAAAACCTTCCAACCAAAATCTGGATCACCAATTCAGATGCTGAAATTTCTCCAATTAATGGTCTCTCATATGAGCAATATTAGCAGTTGATCAATCTTGTCAATGATAGAAAGCCTATACTCTCCAATTTTGCTGGTAAGGCTGCACAATTATATTGGTTCATGCACTCTAATGGTTGGCTATTGGACAATGGTGCCACTGGTCACATGGCACCATGCAAGACTAATCTTCATGGTTTTGATAAGCTAGAAATGCAAATAGTTCAATTATCGAATGGGACCAATTTATCCATTCAATCCAAGGGTGATGTATCACTYCACCCAGGTTTCACATTATAGGATGTCTTGTTCATACTTCGTTTTTGTTGCAATTTGGCATCTATCAGTAAACTCACACTACATCTCAATTGTGCTGCCATATTTTTTCCAACTTTCTATGCATTGTAGGACCTGACCTCCAAGAAGGTGATTGGGGTGGGTTTCCTATGTGATGACCTATACTACCTAGCACTAGTGGGTTCAATAGTTGCTCTACAAAGCAGTGCACAAACTTCCAACTTGTGGCATGCTAGACTCGATCATGCCTCGTATGATCGGTTAGCCTCTATTAAAGATCTACACATTACAATATCTAGTAGTATATGGTGTGATACTTGCAGGCATGTGAAGACTATTTTTTTGGGGGGGGGGGGGGGTTGCAAGACACCATCTCTTTTAGGGGCACACTATTTTTTGACAATTGTTGATAACTATTCTCAGGCCACATGGGTGTATCTCTTGAAATGTAAATCAGAAGCCTATTCTTTTTTGTAATGTTCTGTGCTACGGTGAATACTCCGTTCAATGCCAATGTTCACTGTGTACAATTAGACAATGGTTTGGAGTTTGAGTTTAGACCCATGAAAAATTTCCTGATCGAGCATAGTATCATGCAACAAACTTCTTGTGTAGAAACCCACAACAAAACGGGGTAGTGGAAAGAAAGTACAAATATCTACTAGAGATTGCCAGAGCTTTGCGGTTTCAGGCCAGTTTGCCAATCAAATTTTGGGGGGAATGTATCTTGACAACAACATATACAATCAATTATCTTCCCATACCCATCCTTTCTAGGAAGATGCCAGTTGAAATTCTACATGGTTGAGCACCACCCTATGACCATCTTCAGACCTTTGGTTGCCTTGCTTATGCTGCCACAGCAAGCCATGGTCGAGATAAGTTCGACCCTCACTCTAGGTGTTGCCTCTTTTTGGTATACCCCATCAACAAAAGGGGTACCAGCTCCTTAAAGACACACCATTATTCGTCTCACGTGGTGTTAAATTTTTTGAAGTTTTGTTCCCTTTTTCTAAGCACAATCAAGTTGTTCTTTCCTTAGATTCAGCCACCCAAACTCCAGTTATTCTAGTACCAGCAATTGATGATTGAGTTGTGTTCAAGTTATATGAAGGCTAGATTCCCATGACAGAATTGGACTGCCCACTAATACAAACATCATTGTTACTCTTCCCGTTCAGGTTATATGAAGGCTTAGATTCCCATGACAGAATTGAACCCATGAATAGAGTCATTAATGACCCACCACTGTTTTGGGCCCTACTAATCAACCCATTAGACATAAACACATATCAACCCACTTATCAAATTATGTTTGCCCTACCATTCCAGCCTCCACCTCTCACCCTATCAAATTTTCTAAGTTCCAGTTCTACCATGTACAAACAAGCCCATAAATATGAATGTTGGAGGCAAGTCATGATAACTGAATTGACAACCCTTGTAGACACTAATAGATGAACCCAAACAAAGCTTTCACATGACAAGAAACCCATTGGATGCAAGTGGGTCTACAAAATCAAATACAAACCGAATAGCACCACTGAGCGCTACAAAGTGTCTCATTGCCAAAGGATACACACAAACAGAAGGCATTGATACACCGAAACTTCTGCCCCTGTTGCAAAATTGGTCACAGTGCATTGTTTTTTAGCCCTTGTTCTACACATGGTTGGGAACTTCACCAAATGAATGTGAACAACGTGTTCCTTCATGGTTCTCTTTATGAGGTAGTATATACGGTCYCTATTCCTGGACTTCTTTCTCCGATGATACAAGGGTTTGCAAATTGAATAAGTCAATTTATGGGCTCAAACAAGCATCACAAAACTGATTTGACATGCTTGCTCATGCTCTTAAATAGCGTGGCTTTCATAAGTCTTTGGTTGATAATACTCTTTTCACTCTACACAGCTCGGGGTCTTTCTTAGCAATATTGGCCTATGTAGACAATTTAGTCATTGCGTGTAATAACCTTCTAGCTGTCAATGACCTCAAGAAGTATCTAAGTACTTGTTTTCCCATCAAGGATCTCAGTCATCTTCGATAGCATTGAGATATATTGTTCCTCCTCTGGGCTATTTCTTAATCGACATAAGTACACGTTGGATATCCTTCAAGAAGTTGGTATGCTGGGCTGTAAGCCTAGTTCATTTCCAATGGAACAACAACGTTATCTTGCACTAGATTCAGGGCCCCTAATAACTAATCCTGATCAATATAGACACCTAGTTGGACCTCTCATTTACTTGACTATTACAAGACCTGAGCTCAGCTACGCTGTACATCCACTCAGCCAATTCATTGGTCATCATTGCCAACATCATTTATTGACTATTACAAGACCTCAGCTACGTTGTACATACACTCAGCCAATTCATTGGTCATCCTTGCCAACATCATTTAGATGCTACCATGCATGTCCTCCGTTACTTGAAGTCATCACCTGAACATGGCATTCTACTATCCTCCACTTGTGACTTTCGTTTGTGAGCTCGCTGTGACTCGGACTGGGCAGGTTTCCCTTCCACTCGCAAATCAACCACATGTTTACATCACATTTCTTGGTTCTTCTCCCCTATCTTAGAAAACAAAGAAACAAACCATAGTTTCTCACTCCTTAGCAGAAGTAGAGTACTGAACTATGGCAACCAGCACCAATGAGTTACTTTGGTTAAAACGATTGTTTGCTGATTTGGGCCTTGATCATTCTCAGCCCATACTGCTCTTTTGTGACAACAAAGCCACACTTCACATCGCAGCTAATCCTATGTTATACAAATGAACGAAATACATTGAGATCGATTGCCACTTCATACGAGAACATATCTGGTCCAATACCATTGCTACTTCACACATCAGTTTTTGGATTGAGCCAAGAGATATATTCACCAAAGCCTTAAGTCGAGATCATTTTCGTTCTGTGCTTCACATTCAAACTAGTTCGTTAGGTCGTTACACTTAGCTGTACAATTTGTTAGCCAGCTGAACTAGCTGGACTCCACTATGTATTCTCTATATATTCTCCCCAATATCAAATGAATGTAGTATCTTTTTTTTTTCTCCTTGGTTCAGTTTAGACCCTGAATGTCCTATCCGGAGATGGAGAACTGAAATTTTGGCTTGGAAGGGAACTCGGGGAGTGTGATCCCTTAAATTCTCTTCGAAGACTGAGTCAAATGAGAGACGGTGAAGCTATCACTCTCCCTCCTGCAGCAGCTGGGCYGCAATGCTCATTGGTGGAAATTGACTGTTTTAGTGGCGCTGCTGTTGAACTGCATGGCAATTCGGACCCTCACGAAGGAAGCTTGTAAGGCCTTATAAGTGGGTTCTCCCTGTCGCAAGACAAAATCACAAGAATTCATTTTAATAGGACCTATCTTTTAAAATCAAGAAAGAAGTTGAACAAAGCGATGAATTGGAGGTTGACGAAGAAGAAGAGCTATTCCTCTTACTCAAGCTAACGCTAGTAATAGATGAGGAAGAAGAAAAGGGTAAGAAAGAACTTGAGATGTAGAAGCTTGTGGGATTACAAGCTAATCTTGGAGAAGATCACATTCCTTGTAGGTAGTTGCTTTGGGTCAGAATTTGCTAATTCAAGACTCCATTTTGGTGGGATTTCTCACAGAATTTGAAAGAAATTATTATTACAACTTCACAAGAACACCCAAGAAGGTAGGTTTTAGGGTTTTAGGATTGCGTCTTTATTATCTAATTTATGGAAACAGAGAAAATAAGGGCAGATTTTACCTTTTCCTCCGTTTTCTTCAGGCTTCAGCATCAATCCTGACCACAATATGGCTAGGCTTCAGCACAGCTACATCATGGCTAAGCTTCCAAATCTTATTGAGTGGAAGCCGGAGACTAAAGCCTTCACCTCCAAAATTTGAAGGTTAACCAAGGAAACCCAATCATTCAACCACATGCAGACCTTTCAGACACCATAATTGTTGCAGGGGACTGGGATACCACCAAATAGGTTTTCCATATAAAACTCATCCTAGCACAAGTATCCAGAAACAAATAGTTCTAGTTATATAGCCATCGTCTCTGTCAGATTATCTCTGATGATCAAAGAGTTGGGAAAACAATGCATATATGTAAGCATTCGGCGATGAAATTAAATTCTCATTCACCATGCATCATATAAAAATGGTCTCTCAATATACTACTACCACATCACTTGTGTGGTGTAAACTCTGAAAATCTTCCAATATTATTATACACAGACACAGGCTAGAAAAGACAGTTCATTTCAGTTCCTCAGATCACAATACAACATCAGCCAACATGTTCGACATGAGTCAGAGATGTCACCATGCCATTATACCTCATGATAATATGTCTACTCAGAAGTTTAGGAAAACATTTTAACGGAGTCCTGAGCCACTGAAGCAGAGGACTTCCAGACAACAGGTTAAAACATTAAAGCCAAAGGCTAAAAGATAACAGAGCCTATTTGAAATGCAGATTGTGAAGTTAAATCTGTGAGGACCAGTTTGCAGCACTCCCAACTCTTGGTATGCTACTTTCCTTCTTGGTCTCTTCATCAACTTTGAAAGTCGCACCACAAACCTGGCCTGAACTGTCAACCCTTGGCATTGCCTTCAACGCATTCAGAGGGTGCTCATAACTCCTCAAGCCTCCAGAGGATGTGAAGAAGCATCCTAACAAGAATCAACAGAAAATCAGAATGAAGCTACAAGAAAAATCTGCAGTTGCAGAAAAACTTGTAACAAAATATATTTAGTTTATGGGATTTCTGTCAACGTTGTACTTCAACAGCTCACTGTCAAAGTGAGAAAGCAAATCATCATCAACGTGTTTCTTCCTTTGGGAGTGATTCCAACTTCTCAAAACACTGAAGTCGGAGTGGTTCATGTTGGTGAACACTCAATAAATCATTATATACCTTTGGGAAATGGTGCGAAAGACTTCCCACAGCCTTTTTTAACGACCTCCGCATCATCCGAGAAAACAAGATTGCCATCAGAATCAGTTCCCCAGAAGAAAGGAACATTCCCATCAGTATCCTGAGTTCAGGAAAATAAAGCAAAAGCCAAAAGTGAGGAACCTAGCCCCAATCCGTATAATAATACTCAAACATACAGCCAGGAGCAAAATCAGAAAGTGAGGAACCTAGCCCCAAAAGTGAGGAAGTGAGGAACCTAGCCCCAATCCGTATAATAATACTCAAACAGAGGATTATAAACTGAAAAACAAAATTAGTGGTTAAGGATTTACTCACAGAGGCAACGAAGGTGAGTTTTGAAGAGCAGTCATAGAGGATAAATGCAAACTTCCCATTGAGATCTTTCACAACCTGATCCGCAGGATAAGGCCCTCTGTCCCTGAGAGTTCTGTAAGCTTCTATCACAATGATGACTTCATTCGCAGTCTTGTTTAATCCATATTGTTGCTTCAGAAGAGCAATGTTCTCGATATGTCCTTGGAACAAGCAGAATATATCGTCCACCACAGCAAATAATCTGGCAGAGGAAAGAGAAGGGGTGACATTGAAATTTGTTGATAAGTTCTAGTAATGTTTTCGATTTATCGGACAGAGGTCGTTTCTCAACTATAGAAGTTCTTAACCTGTAGTAAGATTTTTTTCCCCCCAATAAAAAGAATTATAGAAAGAGATGCAATCGAACTGGGGCAAAACAGCTTACAGTTTGCAGATCATTCGTGTATGGAATCAGTATATCAATGTATTACTGTAGGAAGTGTATATGGATGCTACTAATAACAAAGTACGACTAGTAATACAAAAATAGACTAATTATATCTGGTAGAGATCGATCAAGTAAAAACAGAACTAAGCATACTGGATTTTGCACTGATCTTTTTTTGATACTTGATTTTGCATCGATCAAACATGAAAAATACAGGTATCATAATTTGGGATGTAATTTTTTTGGTAGGGAGACAATGAGATCTAAAAGAAAGAATCTCTAATGCCAACTTTTCTTATTAGGCATGGTTTGATCATCCAAACCCAAACCAAAAGGCATTCCAAACCACATAATTTATGCAAAGAATGTACACAAGAACAAAATTTCTGAGATGGGTCCTCTCATTTGTTCACAGACTAAATAATCAAAATGGAACTAGATTTTACTCTTACCCACTTGATCTCTATAGATAATCAGCACCACAGAACACATGGAACAGCAAAGAAAACAAAGAACAAATCATCCGAGCCATAAAACATATAATCAAAAACCAAATTTATGGATCTGGAGTTACCTTGGGAGGAGAGGGTTCTGTCTGTCGGTGGTGTACACAAGGGAACCTGCAGTCCCCAGATTAATGGCGACGGAACCCGGATTAACAGAGGAGAAGTAATCGACCAAAACTCCATCCTTCAACGCAGAAACCGATCCAGAATGGGGGCTCTTCAGGCCCTCTGGACACTTCGCAACCGATTTGTCGAACACCGCCAGCATCTTCTCGCTCGAGTCTTCTTTGTAAAGCGGATAGAAAATAAGCTCTCCAACTATATAATATTGGGTACGATTGTTTCAGCCTTCAGGAGCGATTCGAGTGAAAGTCCACAGAATCGGAGATTGAGACATTAAAATTCCAACTTCACCCTTGTTTCATAGACAATATTACACAGTGCCACTGAACTGTTGGCAGATTGGGAGCTAAAGACACGTGTAGGGTTTGCAATGCGTCGAGCGTGTGATCGCCAATTGAATGTTGGGGTGCATACGTGTGAGTAAGCTAAGGATGACAATTTGACTGAATCGCAATGGGCATTTTGGGAAATTAACCTTCAAAGCATATATTTCTGTGCAGCCGTGCAGGCAAGGTTTGACCAATAACAAATCACAAAGCTTATCCACAGGGTAATAATTAACATTGGTGACGAGTAAACTCGGTGACTCGGTGTAGTCAATGACTCGGTCAAAGTATCCGCTTTGAGTAAACGTGTACGGTTTGATTTCCACTTTTTCAGTTTCCACCACGGGCGGTGAACAAACTGAGTAAGCGTGCAATATCTGTATGATACTGTCCATCTAAAGCCACTGTGCGATGAGTTAAACACCACATTGCGAGACGCGTGTTGCACAGTCGTTATATGCTTACGCTGTATGATCACCTAGTATGGCTACTGGATCTGGAGAGTTCCGCGGGCCCACACTCAAGATTTTGGATGATGTGTCCCCTCGTCGGAAATACGTATTGTACTCGCGTGGGAACGGGATCTGCTCCTCACACTTAGGCGCCTCACATGCACATCCACCGTCTACTGAGAACATCTCCCGTAAAAAATTACTTACAAATACGGGAGATGTTTTCAATGCATGCATGGTAGGATATGCGTGTTAGGCGCGTGTATGACGCCCTATGTGAGGAGCAGATTCAGTCTCACTCGCGTGCTTGAGTGTAGGTCACTCCCGGTGGCGGCACCTACCCTTTTCACAAGGATAGGAATCATAGATGGAAAGCTGGCACGTGACGAAGGATCCGAGTCAGAATTCAGAGGACAGAGATTTAATTCTTTCTTTTTTTTTATAATAAATATAAGGGTTTCAGAACAGCTATTTCGTCATATTTATATTTAATTAATAATAAATTTTTACGCTGTAATATAAAAAATAGATGATCATGTGGCTGTCTCTTTTTGTATTTTTTATGTTTAAAAAAAAAAAAATTCAATTCTCATGTAAGATCAGGCGTGCATTTTTTATTTTATTTTCATTTTTTTACCATGCTTCATTCTATTATTGATTTTTCATTTTGGCCAATGCTAGTATGTGGGAATGTTCTTCAATCCATACCTGATTTTTCCAATATGCAGTATTTTGTAGTGTGAGTAGAATTTTTTTTTTATGATGGAATCATTTAGTAACTTGTCTAAAAAATATTTTCATATGTTAAATGAGTTGACTAAAAGTAACAAAAATATTTTAAAATCTTCAAAATACAAATATAAGAAAAAAAGCTTAATACATTAATCATATTGACTCAACAAAAATAATAATTGTCTTATCTTAAAACAAAAAGTAAAAAATAAAAATAATTAAAAAACAAAAGACACCTCTATAAAATGTTGAAAGCATATAAAACCATGCGCGAAATTGGGCTTTGTCATTTGACTCATTTCTAAGTAGGAATGGTTAGGCACCCGGGAAAAAAGTTTATTAATGCTTAAAGTGTGATTTGAATCAACCCAATTAACGATGAACTGTAAACTCTTAACATCACTATAAACCACTAAGTCATCTCACCTCTTGCTCTTGCAGTATTCATTGAAATAAAAYTATTTTTATTCATTTTTGTATTCATCCAAGCAAATAATACATGTTTATGATTAACAATTTCAACTAAAAATTAAATGAAATAATATTTAAAATTAGTATTCTATAAATAAATAGAATAAATAATCTATTAAATCCAAATTTACATCAAAAGATGGAGTTTGGATCTACTCTTCATAGAGCGCACCTCACAACCCCATCCCATCATGTATCGAGAACATCTCCTGTCCTTTGTGCTGTTATTCATGGGGAGATGTTCCTAATACACTGTGGGATGGGACTGTGAGATCCGTGTGAGGTGCACTCTATGAGGAGCAGATCCCCATTCCAAAAGATGATTTTAATCCCAATAATTTATTTAAATAAAATATTAACAATAGAATAATTATCTTAGTACTTAAAATTTATAAGTTCGTGCATCATATATATCTTACAATTTATATATATTTTTATAATTATTACTTAATATTTTAATTTGTATTAAATAGCACTATATTTATCATTTACAAAAACAATAAAAAATTGTTTATAAAATATTCAAGAATATAATATTAAATTGAATCTATCAAATCCACTAATTTACATTCATATGAAAAAATGATTTTTAGTTTCAAAAAATTTGTACAAGTTCAAATTTTAATAATGAAATAATTATTTTTGTAATTAAAAATTATGAATTTGCATAATATATCTTAGAAAATTTAATAGATTTGATATATTTTGAATAAAAATTATATATTTTTATAGATTATTAAATGATAGTTTAATTTATATTTGGTTAACCTTTTTTGTTAATGTTAAAAGGTAAAAATAAAAGAATAGAAAATAATTGATATAATAATTAGGGTAAATATAATAGGTTCATATGTTCTATGTATTGGACTCTTAATTAATGTATTGTTTGATATCCATATCTGAATCCAATTTATCTGATATGATATTCGATACCGATGCTTTAGTTCTTGGTTCAATATCAAGTGTATAAAAAAAATGTTCTTCAAATTTCATTATCAACCAATAACATTCTACAAAAACCAAACTTACATAGAACCATTCCATATAAAAGAGTAAACAAGATAATATATAAGTCAAAAAATAAATAAAACCAAGTGAATGAATGGGTAAATAAATAAGCTTGACTGTTGATAGCTCATAATTAAGGTAATCCTTATGTAGCACTGCAACTTTACATGGAGTCTGAACTCCGAATTAGACCTGTTTATTATGAGCCGAGTTCAGCTCCAGGTTTATTTGTTAAATTTTGAAGGACCCAACCCAAAGCAGTGCAAAGTCGAGCCCGATGGGCTGCCCATGAACAGGGTTAGTCTGCAGTAACCTGTCATGTGGGAAAAATCCTACTAACAGCCCAGGCTGTCAAACTTAGCCAAACTTTTTTCAATCCTCAAGCTTTGATGAAGTTCCATATCACAATTTGTAGAGACAAAACACAGAAAGTGAACGCTGCAATGAAATAGTTCTTCAAAAAGGGAATAAATAGAAAGGTATTACGTTTTGATATGCAAAGAGTATTAAAAAGCAATTTTAAGATAACTATCAAAATATGCTTTTATATGCATGGATGAAGGAAGTCACTAGCTGGTTCCTTCTTCATTTGCTGGTTCCTCTTGTTCTAAGTTAAAGAACTCTAACACTGTTCTTTGGAGCTCCGATTAGATTGAAACAAGGTTCAAAGTATCGACATGTATTGGCCCGTATCAGCCAATACGTATTGTTTTGGGACCCCTCCGATATGTTCCTACAGTAGGTGTATCGGGGGTTTGACCAGTTCAGGGGGTGGAGGAGCCTTAAATCGCCCCCCCTGAACCGGTTGTGAAAAAAAAAATGCATCAAAAGCTGTATTGATTCACSTGATACACCCATACCAGAATATTGAGCATATCAATAGTTTGAACCTTGCATTGAAATAATATGCCGTCAACCATGAATGACCACGACATTGCTCTGTGTTCAGACTCGGCTAATTTCTTGARTCCAAAGAAGAGAGTTCGAGTGATGGGAAGTTCTTCATGTATATATGTTGACTTCTTCTTAAGGGTTTGCCGAGCTGACCAGAGTGCCAAGCTGCCTATTAGGTGACAAGCTGACCAGAAGGCCAAGCTGCCTGATGGCGAGCTGGATTAATTGCTAAGCTTTGTAGTTCTTGAGACATACGATGAACCACTATTAGAGGACCCGAGGTGGCTAACCCGACGAGGTCACTCCAATGCTTAAGTCAGTACTCTCATAATAGACTGCAAACTAAAAATCACAAAAGTATGAGAGCTAGAATATGCTTACTTGCCACCCCCATGCCATTGGGGTTGGTGCCTTTATAGGCATTATTTGGCGTGGGCTTCACGCACCATATTCGAGATTTATGAGAAATTGTCTAAGTGGTACGAGATTCCCTGAGGCAACTGCCATGCACGTTGACCACCCTCCGGATCGTTTGGCACGTGAGCCAACTTCTAAGGATCATGGGAGTGTTTGGATATGCATGCCGAATTTGACACCGAGCACGTCTCGTAGGTCGCTAGGTTGGCGCCTGTGCCAGGTCGCCAGTTCGCGCCTATGCCAGGTCGCCAGTTCGCGCCTGGGCCAGACCGCTAGGTCGGCGCCCGTGCCAAGCCACCAGCTCGCGCCTGGGCAAGGCCACCAGGTCGGCACCCGTGCCAGGCCCCCAGGTCGTGCTTGGGCTGCCAGGTCGAACACCACCAACTTGGCTAAGTCAAGTTGTTGCCTAAGTGGTTTCGGGTGTCACCTAGTTGTTTTGAGGTGCCATGTGTCACAATATCATTGGAGGGCCAAATCCGCCCTCATCATATATATATTCAAGCTGCCTCGCAAGCTCTAGTAGGATCGAGCTCAGCTCGTTTAATAATCGAGCTAGTGAATTGCGCTCGAACTCGGTTGAAACCGAGCCGAGCTCGAGCAACTCGTAAAAAGCTCGACTCGTTGCCACCCCTGATAAGGAGCCTGTTTACAAACTATTTTGCGAATACCATTCTCAGCTTGTCTTTAGCTGAAGGTGAAATAGATGATAAACTTATTTGGGCTGTAGATCCAAAGGGTATTTTCTCTGTGAGATCTGCTTACCTTCTAGTTCTAGCCAAATCCTCTTGCCCTCCAGGCCCCTCTCATAGGAGATTAGATGTGGATTTCAAATCCTGTTGGAGTCTTCTGTGGTCCATGTCAGTGGAACCAAAAATCAAAGCTTTTTTTATGGAAATGTGCTCATAATAGGATTGTTGTTAACTTAAACATCCATAAAAGAGGCCTAACCCCAAATGAGCTGTGCCCGATTTGTAAACAAGCTCCTGAAACGGTGTTTCATGCACCATGCGCTTGTGACCATGCAAAGAATATTTGGCTTGTCTCCCCATTCAAAATAAAGCTTGATCATCCCTGCAGACACAAGTTTTCCCTCTTGGTTTTTTGACAGGATCAATGGCTGTTCAAAGGATAAATACCAAAAACCTTTGCTTCTGATCTACACTGATGCAGTTCTTTGGACAGTCTGGAATTCCAGAAATAGGATTATCTTTCAAAGTGAGAACACTAATCATTATGTTAATTATGATATATTGTTCTTGAACAGGATGGTCTCGAACTCAATGGTGATTTTGTCAAAGAAGCAGATCGGTCCCCCAGGCCCGAGTTCTAATCCTGGCCCCTCTCGATGGATCCTTCCTTTTGGTGTGCTGTAAAGGTGAACACGGTTGGAGGTTTTTTGGGTCTAAATTTAGCTCGCTTGTGTGGGTGCTCACAGGTTCTTGTGGAATCTGACTGCTTAAGTCTAATCAATGCTCTGCTAAGGCTCGAAATCTGGAGGTAGTAGATTCAGAAGCTTTCTTTTTGGTGAAGGACATTCATACCTTGACAAGCTCCCATTCTCTTTTAACTATACAAGAAGGTCCCTAAACAGAGTTGCTCATGAGTTGGCAAGAAGGGGTTTTAATGATCGGGGTGTTCTGGTGCAGGACAGCAGGAGTGCCCGATCTGGCTTCAAGAGCTTCTGACTGGATTTCAGTGCCTAATTGTGTGTTTTATCCTATTCTTCTCGTTTTTGAACTGTGTTCCTTTCTGTTTTTCTATTCTGGTTTTTAAGTCCTGTTATCTCTGTAACCTTTCCGGAGCCAAAGCTCCCTTCCAATGGAAAGTCTTGATTCAGAAAAAAATAAAAAAAAAACCATATCAATTGATTTATAACAATTTGTCAAACTATCGAGTATCAATTTGAAATGACTGAGTTTGGGTTTGTAGTGCTTTGTGATGGTTAAGGATTTGCAGCAGTTTCAAACAGTTGGATGTGGATCTGCTACCATTTGTAACAGTTGAATATGAGCTTTGTAACCATTTGTGGCAGTTGAGCATTGACAGATCTGGACTGATACAAACACAACACATACAGATACAAGGTAGATATGGAAGAATTTTATCAAAACTGGAAGATATTGGTATCACCAAAAACTGAAACACGTTGGACCATATCAAACCAACAAGTATTGATGCAAGGTAAATCAGCTTGCCCTCGTTCCCGCCAGTCTCGATTTTCAATTTTCTTGACGCCTGAGTGARGTATTTGAAAATATTACAGGCTTACTGATAAAGAGGGGTGAGCAATTCATCTCCTCAATCAATTAAACGCTAATGGGCAGTACATAACAGAGGCGCGGATAAAGAAATAAAGATTATGACCCAAGACTTCAATTTATTAATACAATGAACTTCTATAATTTAGCTCAAAATTTTCTCTAGTCATTAAATAAACACAAGGAACATTGTTAGGGTGGATTCAACTCAAACTCTGTTGTAAGCAACCGATTTGCTAAACAGACGGCGGATATACACCACTTGGAGTCCACTTGCACAAATTAGCAGAAGGTACTCTGCAAGTGTATAGAAGATAACACGTCTCCTGGTGCTCTCATTGGCTGCAATTAGAACAAACAAAGATCCCATGAACATTGTCATAATCAGCATAATAACATCAGCAACAATAGTAACAACATAGCAACAATAACCAAGCAACTCTTCAATTCAACGGTACTGTGATTCAGGAGGATTCTTCCATTGATATTAAGCACAGTCAGCCAGAAGGTTTTCAAAACCGGACTGAACCAGATTGTCAGACCAGAGAAACCGGGAACTGGTCCGTTTTACCCCCAAACCGCTTTTTGGCCAAAAACCATTGATTTGGTCAACGAACCACTGACCCAGGCAGTCAAACTGTCAACTCGAACAACGGTTTTTGGCCTTTATTATTTTTTCTGTCAGAGTGGGCTATTTGTTCGGACCGGACGGTTGGACCATTCAACCTGGAAACCAGATCCCAGAACGGTTCCCTCTCCGGTCCAGTTTTAAAAACCTTGATCTACAGCATTGATTTCGTCAGTCCTCATGAAATCAATGCCAAAATTGACGTAGAAGGATGAACATCACATTTAACTTATTGCATCCTTTTGAGTGGCCTATAAAAATGAAGATGCAGAATAGAACTGATTGACAACCTACCTATGTGCATATTTTGGTATATGAGGGATCTTCGTACGCCATGCATACGGATCCTTCCCCCCGCATGTGTACCACAAGAATGAGAAGGCTATTTGCTAGCTTTTAATAGAGAAAGACTACATCCGCCTAATGGCTATATATATATATATATCTTATTTCCCCAGAGAAAAAAAAAGAAACAAAAGAAGAAACAAAAGAACTATAGAGGGGCTATACCTACATTGTACTTGCAATCAAGGAAATGAAGATAATTTAAGATGTGTTCCACCAGAAACAAAAGATGGGTGATGGGGATGTAATGGCAATTAATGGTTGCTGATAGTGAAAACATGATATATTGATATTAGCATAATTGTGTTCCAGAATAAAAAAATTTGTTTCAGACTGGAGGGGGGAGTGAGAGACTTACTATGACGATGCCGAGCATCACGTGCCTTCAGGTACTTCTGCTCTGCCGTAACAGCCTCCAATGCTTCTCTCAACTCGGCAATTTTAACATTTATTGGGTCCAGATGTTCTGAAAAAGAAATAAAAAGTTAACAGGAATAAAACTGTAGAAATCGAATTATAAGCATTAGCCTCAGATAAAGGAATAATGAAAAACTAGCAAAACATCCAGCAAGTAGATCTTCACACAAGATTCTAGAATTGAACTAACCATCTTTAGCAAGATCATGCTCATTGGGGATATGGCCAACATGTATGTGAAAAGAAACAGTCTCTGGAGTTGAATAAGGATTATGGAAACAGAATTTGAACATTCCATTCCGTGGGGCCTTGAACTCAAACTTGTCTCCTGAAGTTCCCTTCAAAGTATGCACCACATTACCCCCAGGAGCTGTCACCTGTGTGAAACCAAGGGTTATGATTAATAGTAAATCCATATATATTTAAAATATATGTATTGCAGCAGGCATAATTGGACAAGACAACATTAACAATTCGATAAATTGATATTGCATGAATAAGACAAGGACTCTTTGACACATAGATAATGAAAACAAATGCATGATTGAACAGCAGTGGGAAGTGGCTTTGGAGATCCAATGAACAACCGTGTAGCTTATGTAGTCACTTCTAAATACAGAAGAAAAWATAAAATAAAACATACACAGACACATGAAGTGGGATTTAGGTGAGGTTAATTTCTCCTATGGTTATCCATTTTGGAAAGGGATTGAAAAAACTTACTAACATTTTATCAAAGGCATCAAATATGATGTTGGGAATGGTAAAAAGGTAAGCTTTTGGATAGATACATGGTGTGATGTGAGGCCTATATGTGAGACTTTTCCATCATTGTTTGCTATAGCACAGAATAAGGAAGATTATGTGGACAATTAGGTAAGACCAAATTACATGGTAGTGGGGCCCACAGGTTAGAAGGAACTTGAATGGTTTGGAGATTGGCCTGTGGTTAAACTAATCCAGAAACTCCAAAATACCAACTTTGGTATTGACCAGGTAGATAGGAAGGTCCRAGGATGGAATAACTCTGGTAATTTCTTGGTGAGATCCTTCTATAACATAACACTACCCACAACTGAAAATAACTTCCAAGCTCAAGAATATGATGGTCCGCTGTTCTATCTAAGGTTGCCTTTCTGGTATGTATAGCAACACTAGACAGATGCCTTACAATAGCAAATCTATTAATGAAGAGTATCATCATCATCCAAGCCTTATCCCAACTATATGGAGTCGGCTACATGAATCCTGTTTTGTCATTTCATTCTGTTTAATGTCATGTCCATTGTTAAATTATTGGCTCTTAAATCATTTCTTACTTCTACTATCCATGTCCTTTTTGGTCTACCTCTCTCTTCTAGCCCCTTCAACTTGCAAATAATCACTTCTTACAGGTGCAGTTGATGGTCTTCTATGCACGTGACAGAACCACCTTAGGTATACTTTCTCTCATTTTATTACATATTGGAGCTACTCCTAGGTTCCTTCAAATGACTTCATTTCTGATCCTATCCTTGCCAGTTTTTCTACTCATCCATCTCAGCATACACATTTCTGCCACATTATTTGGACATGTTTCTTGACTGCCTAACATTGTCTTCCATACAGCAGAGCTGGCCTCATAACTGTTTTACAGAATTCTCCTTTTTTAATACAAGTGGTATTTGCCTATCACAAACTCCAGAGAAGCACCCCTCCATTTTGCCCATCCTGCTCTAATTCTATGGATGACATCCTTCTCAATCTCTCCCTTTTTTTTTAATGAATGGCTCTCAATCTCTCCCTTGTTATGAATTATCAAATCAGGTATCAGAGTATGATGCTAGATAATATTAATTGTAGTTTCATGGAAACAGGGAATCACTTCTTCCTCCATTTTAGCACCCAATATGCCACTCTGACTTTGATCAGCTCTATTAAGTTTTCCACATTATCATCCTTATTCTCAAACACCCTAGCATTTCTTCCCCTCTAAATACTCCACAATGCTGCTGCCCTTACGCTATGCCATATCAACTTCAATCTTTAGTTTTACAATCCACATAATCAGAACAACAACTCAATAGTATTCTGTGAGGCATACCGACTTCTCCCAAATAAGGACAAGAAATGATGCCAGATTCGGCTAGAATATTGACAAGAAAGAAAAAGATGGTTAGAACTTTCTCAGATCTTGAGGCAAAGAATGCACGCATGTGGGGATAAGCACCCAATTCGTTTTCCTTTGAAGTCTATCATACATGCTGATGATTTGGAGAGTGGCCTCCCAACAGAAAACTTTAGGGGTGGAGAGCAGAATCAATCGCAAAGTTTTCCAAGGGAAAGGGGTGGGATTAATTTGGATGTGGAACAGAGAGGAAACAAAGACCTTAGTGAAAGATGAACAGAAAACTGCCTGATGAACAGTGAGACCATACCCTTTTATCGGAAACCGAAAAAAGGAAGCAAACAAGGATCAATTATGCACTTCCAAGGATTCAGCTTCTTCACTCACTAGTAAAACTCTCCTCAAACCCAAATTCCAAGAGATATGACCATCAGAGGTCACAATGTCAGCAATAGACTTGTTTTTGAACAAGGAGAGGCTATACAGTCTAGGGAAAGAGGGAAAAAAGTGTGAGTCTCCCTATCAAAGATCTTCCCAAAACTTCACCTTATTCCCCAATTAAGGGTTGTATCWAATATGCTAAGTGAAAATAGGCAAAATGGACACCATAGCTTTCTACAGARTTCTAAGAGTGTGATTCCTGGAAGACTCAGTCCCACCCATTAGGATTCATCCCATGGATACTTTTGATAACTATGATTAGCCTAGGATGCTCTAAATAAGAGAAAAATAAAGAATGGAGTGTCTAAACTTAGATAACTCGGATCTGATTGATTAGAGAATTAAATAAAATAAAGAATTACCAATAATGACAAATAGATCCCTACTGCCAATATAGGACTACCAACAACCAAATGCCACAATGCATTATCCACCTTTCGAAACCTCTAGAGCCATTTCCCTAACAAAGTGGAGTTCTTTTCTTTTAATCTCCCCAAACCTAGACCATCTCACTCCTTACCCTGTGTAACAATTTCCCAATTTACCAAATGGCCTTTCTTCTCTCTCCCTGGTTCACACAAAAAATACCAAATATTTTTTTTTTTCATTTCTCTTTATTAACTTCATAGGGACCCTAAATAAGGAAAAGAAGTAAACTGGGAGATTAGAAAAAGTAGCTTTAATCAGGGTAATCCTTCCTCCCATTGGGATATAATTCTTCTTCCAAGCCATAAACTTTAGGTAAATCTTTCAAATGATTACCTCCCAAAAATGACAACTCCATTGGAATCCCACCCGACAGCAAAGCAAGACATTTAATTGGCCTATCTGTAACTTCACACCCCAATACCCTAGCACTCTCCACCAACTCACCTTTCTCTAGATGAACCCCCACTAAACTACACTTGGCCCAAATTAATCTTCAGCTCACACTCTCTCTCCACAATAGCAAGGAGTCCTTTTAAGAATCAAACATCCTGAGGACTTCTGCATTCCCCCAAAAATAATGATATCATCCGCAAATTGCAAATGGGAAATCATCTTCACATCACTTCCAACCCTAAAACCTCTAAAACATCCCTTTTCATCAGTGTGCTTAAATAGACGGCCCATGAATTCAACCACCAATACGAAAAGCAGGTGGGGAGGGGATCTCCTTGCCTTAAATCCTTTGACGCCTTAAAAAGCCTCTAAGCAGACCATTCATGAGGACTGAAAAGTAAGCAGCTCTAAGGCAACCCATTATCCAACTGATCCATTTCCCACCAAAACCCATTTTCCACATGATCCATCTTAAACATCACTAATCCACATGATCATAAGCCTTCTCTGAATCCAACTTGCAAAAAAAGCCATTCTTCCTTGACTTTCATGAATCTTCCACTGCTTCATTAACAATGAGGCATTGATCCAAAATTTGGCATTTTTTTATGAAAACCCCCCTTGTTCATCTAATATAACCAAATGTAGAACCTCTCTTAGTCTCACCGAAAGGGCTTTTGCAATTATTTATAAACACAGCATTTCATTTTTCTCTCCTCATAGGAAAAGAAGCAAATATCTGGATGGGCACTGAAGTAGCCATATGGATAGTTTGCGAAGGAATAACAGAAATTATGAAGATAAAAGCTACAAGAAAAAAGCCTTAATGGAAAACTTTTCTGTAAAGGTCACCCAATGGGTAAAAACTTTGGAAGTATTTTCTCCATTCTCTATTGATGGCATCATATTGATATGTGGTGGCAAATTCATCCTCTCCAAGAATATCTCTATTGAAATATATATTATTTTTCAACTGATAAAAAAATGTATGTTATTTTTTAGCTTTCTTAATTTTTGAGTTTGAATAAAAGTCCATTTTATATTTCCTCATATAAAGTCATTTTGGGGACAGATTCTTTTTTTTTTAATTCCTTAATGGGAGGTTATATGAATCTTTTCCTTGTTATACACAGTGAGGGGTATACTTGTCTTTTCCTTGTGTTATGAGATAATATAAATAATAGGAGGCTGTGCACCTTGCAGTTTTCCCCTTTCTAAAATCTACACTCTCTTCCCCTTCTTTCTTCCATTTTTCTTCCCTTCTCTTCTAAATAAATACATTTACACTCTAAGTCTACAAGAGAAATAAACACATTGGTATTAAAGCAAGCTCAAGTAGGTTCCTGAGTTAAGCTCATGCAGTTTATAGGATGAGCAGGTTGCATGGAGATTTGAAGGAGCTGATAAATCTGCATCAAATTATCTGGTTTTAGATGTTTTTTGAAGATTCATTGAAGATAAATGCCCAAGAAGGGATCATATGGTTTTACTGAAACTAAGAAATACTAGAGGGAATTTTTTGCAGTTTTACTAAGCAGTTTCTAAAGTTGTTCTGAGGTATTTTCAGATTATTTACATTACAATATAGTGTGTAGTTTTTGTTTTATTGGGATTGGGGATCTCTAGAGTGAGCGGGTGTAATTGCACCCCCTATGTAGAGTACAAAAAAATGAATGCGTGGAGGAAATGAAGAGATCTAGGAAAAGAGGTTTTGCTTGTAAGCTGGACCTAGAGAAAGCCAATGATCTGGTGGATTGGCAGTTTCTGTTAGAGGTGATGAGGAATTGTGGGTTTGGGGAAAGGTGGTGCAGTTGGATGATGGGTTGTATCAGTAATTGTCACTTTTCCATCCTAGTAAACAGAGTGGTTAGGGACTTCTTTCTAGCATGTAGGGGCATTAGGCAAGGGGATCCCCTTTCACCTTTTCTCTTTACCTTGGTAGCTGATGCTTTTAGTCAAATTATCACTAGGGCTGATAGGGAAAAGGTCATAAGGGGTTGGAGAATA